TTCACCATGAATAGGTGTTGAGTTTCAAAAACTTTCTGTATCCATTGAGGTGATTCTATGATTTTTCTCTTTTATTGATACAGAAAATGATACTGATTAATTTCCCTATGTTAGGGAAATCTGTTGTATTTGTTGGAATAAACTTGGCTTTTCTCTATGTGCTGGCTTTGTTAGTAGTTTCTTTAGAATTTTTCCATTTATGTTCATAAGTGAGATTTGCTTGTACTTTTTCTTTCTCATGGCATCTTTGTTGAGTTTTGCTATTTGTAAGTTTATATTAGCTTGGTAAAATGAGTTGGAGGGCATTTCCTTTTTATTATTTTCTGTAGAAGAATTTGTGAATGATTGGAGTTTTTATTCTTTGAACTATCTCTCAAGAATTTAACATTCCAGTGAGTGAGTTTGACAGTAAATAAGATAAATAAGTAAAATATGTAATAAGATAGTGGTAAGTGCTAAGGAGGGAAAAAAAAAGCAGTGAAGGAGTTATGAAATGTTTGGGTAAAATGTTGAAATTTTAGATTGGTGGCGAGAGAATCTCACTGAGAAGATGATTACCAATGAAGAGCAGGTGGAAAAGCATTCCAGGTGCAGGGCAAACAAATATAAAACCCCTAAGGCTGGAGAAGGAGCAGCAGGTTATCAGGACTGGAGTAGAGAACCAGGGGTGAGGAGGTGAGGTCGAAAGTTAGAGGAAGGGGTAGAGTCAGATCATTTAGTACTGTCAGGTCATAGAAAGGCTTTGGCTTTTATCCTGAGATGGGAGGCCACTAGAGGGTTTTAAGCAAAGGAGTGACATATTATCAATCTGTTAATAGTGTCACTCTGCTGGCTTGTTGAGTTAGGGCAGGAGGAAGTCAGCTAGTTAGGAGACTATTACTGTAATCCATACGAGAATGATGGTGGCCTGGACCAGGACGACAGCTGTGTGGGTGGTGAAACGTGGTCAAAGTCTAGATAAATTTTGTCTGAAGAGGTGATAGGAATTGCTGACAGATTTGATATACAGTGGGAAAGAAAGATAGGAGTCAAAAATAGCTCCAAAGTTTTTTCCCTGAGCAACTAGAAGAGTATAGATGTCATTAACTGAGATGAGGGAAGACGTCAGGAAGAACCCCTACTCCCCTTCTAGAGGAAATATCAAGATCTTGGTTTTTAACATGTTTTAGTTGAGGTGATTATGAGGTATATAAGTACAGATATAAAATAAATAGTCTTTTTTGTTGTTGATTTTTGTTTTTAATTGAATAGGTTGCCAACATTTATTAAGTGGAATATTTCCTATAAAAACTTGGATATGGTGCTTCTCTTGAGCGATGGTTAGATCTGGCCACCTGTGTGGCAACTTTCTGCAGGAAGGGCCAGCTCCTTATAGTTGGGACACATGTTCCAGTTTGTCACCATCCACTCCTTCTCCCTCCTGGCGTCGGGTATTCTCTGACCCAGAGGCACTCAAGTTTGCCATCCCTGGGCCAGAGTTTTCTCAGTACATCACACTGCCTAGCTTTTTATTTCTTGGAAAGGTTGTGCTCTAGGGAATAAATAGGCCACTTCGGCATCTATTTTTTTCCTCCACAAGTTCAGGCCCTTTGGGGTAAGGGAGATGTTCAGGGCTTCAGGCCTATCACAGGGACAGTCATTGGTTGACCATCTGGCTGTGATTTCTTTCTTCCTTTTTCTTTTTTTTTAATAGTCTTATATATTGGTCTGGAGTAGGGGGAGGTCCAGTCCGGAGATAGAAATGTAGGAGTCATTCCGTGGCCTGGAAGAGAATATCAGTATTGTGAGTACAGATGTAAAAGAGAAGAGGTACAAGGGCTGAACCATGAGATACAGAAATCAGGAGATGAGTATCCATCAAAAGAGACTTAGAAGGAACAGCCAGAAATTTAAGAGAAAAACAAGACAAGCATGGCACCCTGGAAGCAAAGAGGAGTTATCAGCAGTTACATGCTGCGATTAGGTGCAGTTAGAACTGATCAATGACCATTATGTTCAGCAACACTAGGGTCATTTTATCTTAAAATTCACAAGGAAAAATAAATACTTGAGCAAAGCCAAGGAAAATGTGAAAAATTGTGACTGGGACTTATCTTACTAGAACATACCGTGTATATGCTGTATAATTAAATCAATGCTGAATTGCTATAGGAATGGACAAACAGACTATGATGGAAAACTCAATGTTATCTCAATGTATATAAATATTTATTATATAATGAACAGTTCTCTTCATGAGTGGAAGGATGGATTATTTAATAAATGGGGCTAGCCCAACTGGGTACCCATTTGGGAAGAAAATAAAATGAATTCTGGAAAGATAAAGGACTTAAATATAAGAAATAAAGCCATAACCATCTTGCAAAAAAAAAAAGGAGACTACATATACAATGTGTATATATATTCATTGGGTGAATATTGTACCTCATACCCTCAAAATAGAGCTCTTATAAATTGACAAAACAACAAACATGTTAGCAGAAAAATGAATAAGAGATGTGAACAAGCAGTTTACAGAAAACAAATTAATTGGCCAATAGACTTAAGAAAAATGCTTAAGTTTATTTATTAGTAGTCAGGGAAATGAATCAATGAATATTGATTGTTGGCAGGAAAAAAAGTAAAAAAGAAAAATTTTATTGCTAACAGAGATATGAAGGAAGGAGGATTCTCATATCTCAGAGATATGATTCCCCCCCACCCCCATACCACTAATGCAGTGGCACAGTGGTTTCTATTCAGGGAGAAACTTTTTGTAATGAAAAATTTGGCTTATTTGCAGGTGGAATGCCATTGTGTGACTTAGCCACTTAGTAGCACAATGGCCTTAGACAACTCACATAAACTCTCGAAGCTTCATTTTCCTCTTCTTGAGATGGAGATAACCATCCTAGGCTGACTGCTTTTCTCTGAGGTTGAATATCAGATAATGTTTATGCTAGGTCTTTGGAAATGATAGTGTGGTTCACAGAGTATTAGGACAGGCCATGAGCTTTTTTTGAGTACCAGAGTCCAAGAACAAATTACATAAATTTTGGCAAGTATATGGAAAGAAAATATACTTCTAAATGTAGATTGTAGTAAAGAAGGGCCTTGTAAAGGAGGCTTGATTTCTTGGTTGCATTCATCATTGGTCTCAGTTTTGTTGGTGTAGAGCAGTGCTGTTCCAAGAGAACTTTCTGCAGTGATAATAATGTTCTGTGATTTGTGTGCTTTCTAATACTAGTCACATGTTGTTGACCACTTGACATGTGTTAGTGCAACTGAGGAACTGAATTTTGAAATTTAATTTTAATTAATTTCACTTCCAATTAAAAAAAAGCTACATGTGGATAATACTGTGTTGGGGCAGGAAACCTAGGCTACAGACACCTATTAAATTATAATTTGAGGCAGATTATAACTGGATGCCAAATAAATTACAATCAGAAGTATGTGGGCTTTATGTTTGCCGAGACTAAAATGGGTATTAAAATGTTGTTTGGTGAACCAAAGACCAGAATGAGGAAACTGTTAATAGAAGCTACGCCATTTGAGGAAAGTGTATATCCAAAGCAGAATGTAGCAGCTGAACATTCAGATTTCTCAGCCAGAAGTCCAGGCACACTGGCCTGCGTGCTTTCCCAGTTGAGCTTTTGCTTTGTCTTCGCAGATTCCTTGCTGCCCAGGATGTTGGTCCCTTTGCAGCCCTCTGGAGGTTGTAGCTAGCCCGGGCTCTGCTCATTTCTCTGTTCTTATTCTCTGCCATGGGTTTCAGTTTATTCTCCTGTAAAATGGATCAAATACCTGTCTTCCAGGACCTTTCCTCTTCTAACATTCTAGAAGGAGCAAGCTTATTTTTCACAGACTGCATCTCAGGAATGTTGCTTGTGTGGTGATTTAGCATCAGGATGAGAAAGGATTCTGTAGACAGCGGTCTCACTCCGCACACGGAAATGTCTCTTAGCAGCATCAATCAGTGGGTGGCCTTTTTGAGGTCTGGGAGTCTCGGTCTGCCCTGACCTTTGCTTAGTAGCACTGAGATATTTTTCCAGTTGAGGATCCAGCATTCAACTTTGCATATTTCCATTTATCTTATCGACAAGCCAAACCATTTTAAGGTTAGATACCTTAAAAAACTAATTTGCAAGCTCATGTTACAACTGCATACAGGCTTCCTTTTCTTTTCATGGTTATTTTGTTTCTACTGTGCTTTGTGTAAGATAGTTGAAAGCTGTCATTATTTAAGAAGAAAACAAAAAGAGGAGTTTGCTATTTTTAATGTTGTCAACATTCATTGATCTTGACCTCTATTAGAAAATCCACCTGTATGAATATTTTAGTAAGTAAATAATTGGATACATAGCAAACTGGAAAGCAGTAAAAAATATTTAAAATATAGTTGTGCATTTACTCTTTGGAAAATACATCCAAAGCAGAAAGCCTGGTTCCTGTCATCACAGATTTTTGAATTTGAAATTGTTCAGAAGAATGGGGGAGAGGTAGTTAATGTCACTTAGACCCTGTAATTTCCCCCCAGACAGTACTAAGCATAAAATATAAATAAAAAGTTGACTTATTAATTTCTTCTCTTAATTTATAAGAGAAGAACAAATAGATTGGCTGGTGAACAGCCAACTAAAATTTATTTACATAATGATTTTTATTTGGACTTTTAAAATGGATTTTGGTTGGGAAAGATAATTTTGGGGGTGTGTAGTAAAAAAACAGAACCGATTAAAAAAACATATGACATGTAAGAAGTAACATTTTAGCTGGGACTTCAGGTATGTGAAATAGAAAACTTGGGGAAACCTTAAGTTTCTGGGCCTATGTGTGTCTGGTAACAAAGCTGTATTTTGCCATTTTTGTTTGTAAAACAAAATATATCTTGGACTCATGCATCTAAACTAACAGATAATTTATATCCCTTAAATTTTACAAAGAGCAAAGACATTTGATTGTTGATATATATTTTCCTGAAGTTTTATATATTGCATGTCCTTTTCTTCTTTTTTAAGAGTCCTGTGAAGATAAATCAGATTAGCCTGGATGAAAGTGGAGAACACATGGGCGTGTGTTCAGAGGATGGCAAGGTATGGCACGGATGTGGTCATGTTGAAAGTTCTATTCCTGTATTGAGTACTGTGATTTTTAGCCAGCCCCAACTGATTGGAAAAGCACTCTGCTTACTGTATGCCTGCATTAAGACAACCTTGATGATTCTTTTTGAGTATTGGACTTGCTTCCGATTGGTCATAATTAAAGGAAAATATATTTTGCACAAATGTGCCTTAGGAAAAGTAATTACAAGAATGTCAATAATGTTACTAGTATTAAGCTGATTAACGGCTGTGGCAGGGTGGCGTGTCACCTTAATCATTACTACTGTGCCACTTATACTTCAGTGACTAGTCTGCAGTTCCTGCAAGACAGTAGTTTAATGCCTTTCTGCCATAAATCCACAAAATTGGATTTTGTGGGCATGATTTCTGTGGGCCAGTGGTTTTCATTTTCACACACAAGTTATGAATGTTTCTCTTGAATTATAGAATCTTTTGATAAGCAATCATAGTTTATCAGAAAAATAAAGTGTCTTACAATGGCCACATTAAATAAATGTAAAATCAATATATGTACAGTTTTCTAAAAACCTGGCACCTACTTCCTCGACTGAGGACATACATCATTTGAGCAGTGTATAACTAACAATTATCAGCGCTTCTTGCTGATGTTGAGCTGTGACATTTAGTGGTTGTGGTGATTGATTTTCCACTTATAAGAATGTCTTCTTTGTTTTTAAGTCAATGGAAGTCTTTTCTAATGTTGGTTTGCAATGATAAAATTCTGATGCACAGTGTATTTAAGCTACTTTTCTAAAATAACAATTTAAGAAGAGAGTGCATTAAGAATCATTATAGATCCTTACATATTCTTTACTGAATAGAACAGGTTTCCTAATCTAATTTTATAGTTTTTACACGTTCTACATTCAGTGGGCCATTAAGATAGGTAAATTAAAAACAATATACTCAGCGTTAAAGAGATATGCCCATTTAATCTGTTAACAAAAGCAACGTGAAGTCCTCTTGACATACAATGATGCATTTTATGTATCTAAGCCTAATGTGGCCCAAAGAGTCTTTTGAAACAGTAATTGAACACTTGTGCTTTTCAAAAAGCATTGTCAAATTTTATGATACTTGCTGAAATTCTGAGATTGTCGTGATTGTCAAAGAGAGATGAGGGAGGAACTGATTTGTATAGAAGTTGAGAAGAATTATTCACACTATTGGAACATTTTTGTGTGTGTATATTTGTAAAGAGAGATAATCTTCATTTTATTTTCTTAAAGGTGAGGAATTGTTTCAGTGCTGATATCAGTTTAATTGAATTAATTTGGTGAAAGAATATTTTTTAAATTGAAAATGAATTTTTGTTAAGATACTTCATGTAGGAATTTTTAGAGCTTTAAATGTTGAAGAATTAGTATTTCATGCATCAAAGTGAATATTTTAATTACTCTGGTGGATAATGAGATGACCTTCAGATATCTCATGGTACCCTTCTTGTCAAACACCTCTGTTTTCCAATTTTAGTAAAATTCGTAACTGTAATACTTTGGTATAAACCCATTATATATTTTGAAAAATGGTTTTCTCATATTTTTATTAGCATTTGTAGAATTGAAAATAGATCTTTCAGTGCATGTATTTATGTAAGCTAGCCTGTACCATGGGTTAGTCAGTATAGTGAGACTTGAGAAGCTAGTATAGAAGTGACCTGGTAAAGTGGTTAGTGATGATAAAAATATAAAGATATTTACTTAAATAAATTCAAAATATCTAGATCTAATGAATGTTTAAATAGCTGTTGTGATTTTTTTTTCTTTCTTAAGTGTGTTCCTAGACAAATAATTATTTGGTTATTTTAAGGATAACCTGTGATATTTTCCTCTAGTTTCAAAGTCATAATTTCAGCAGTTGTTTAAGATTTACTCTTTATTCAGCTTGTGCTCATTTCTAATCTTTTTTCCATGGCTTTTCTATGCTTGAGTTTTAAATTTTGAAATATATACATATGTTGTGTGTGTATGAGTGTTCGGTTTCAGTTTATTTCATCTATTTTTAGATAATTTTCAGGATAAGTACATATAAGGTTTATTTTCTCATCTTCTTGCATATATTGCCTTAATACATAAACTGGACTCTAATTTTATATGAAATCCTGTGTTGAAATCTTTTCTCAGTTTTGGAGATGTCGCTCCCTTTTTTCTGACATTTATTTTTGTAGACATGTCTGAGGTCAGCCTACTTTTCATCTTTTATAAAACCTTTTCAATTTTTGTTTTTGTCCTGCCTTGGAGCTTGGACTAATAATAATAATTACAACAACATCAACAATAATAAATGGTTCTTGTAATTCAGTTTGCTAAGTTATGTCTCGTTCTGGTCTCTTCTCATTAATTTTGTCTGGAACACAGTAAGTCCTTTTGATCCATATACTGAAGTATTGTTTTCATTTCAGGAAAGTTTACTTCAGTTATAATTTTGATTATTGCTTCAATTCCATTTGTTTTCATTTCTTCAAAGAAATTCAATAATATAAAGCTGGAGGCAGTATCGCTTAGAGGCTAAGAGCATAGCTCTGTATTCTGGCTGCCTGGCCTGGCATTCCCATTATCTGTGTTAGGTTGGGGGACTTGCTTGGTTTGCCCGCTTTTAGTGCCCTCCTATTCTCAGCGGGGTAGTGGGCTACTAACCATTCCTTTCTTAACCCATTGCTGTCTGGCCTCTTGCCCTCTCCCATTCTTGTACCTAAATTTTCAAGGTAAGAGGCGAATGAATAAGCACTACTCGCCCTTCTTCTCCTTTTTAAAATACACAGGGTGTAGGAAAAATTGGTCGTATTATGCGATGCCCCACACACATACTTTGCTTTCTCATTGTTTTTATTCTTTTATTTCTTTGTAGTCAGACAGAGATTCTCTACTTGTTTATTCCCTTTGCTGATTTGCTTTTCTTACAAAGTCAATGTTTTTTACTGCTTTGTGGAGTAGATTTTTGTTATATTTTACATTTTTAGTTTTCCTGAAATCTTTCTGTCACTCCCAGCTCTATTTTCATATCAGCCTGATAACGTATTTACTTTTTCTAAATTGTAACTTATTATATGCCTTAGAGCAGGAGTCCCCAACCTGTGGTGTGTTGTATAATTATTTAATTATATATTACAATGTAATAATAGAAATAAAGTGCACAATAGATGTAATGCGTTCGAATCATCCTGAAACCTTCCCCACCCCAGTCCATGGAAAAATCATTTTCCATGAAAATGGTCCCTGGTGCCAAAAAGGTTGGGGACTGCTGCCTTAGAGTGTCAGGCAGTACGATCTAGTGCTTAAGAGTGGAATTTCCTACCACTTTTTAGCTGTGTGATGTCCAATAAGTTATTTCTGCTTCTCTGTGCCTCAGTCTCTGTCCTCCCCTGTAAAATGGGGATAATAACAGTACCTACCTACTTCATTGATAATTTGGAGGATTAAATGGGTTAATATATGTAAATTGTTTGGAATAGCACTGAGAACAGAAGAAACACTTAGTAATTGTAAGCTATCATCATAATCATTATTATCATCCTGTTTTTCTGCTCCAGGGTTATAGAGGTCTGATCATGTTACAGAGGTTGCCAACAGTTTTCTAATTTTTCTTTGGGTTCTGGTTACTATTAAAACGTTTTTAGAGGCATGGTTTTCTCCCTCTGATTCTTTGGAATAGTGTTCTACAGTATTTTTTTGATAGACCTTGAGTATATTTTTTTTGCTTGTTTATTTACTCTGAACAGGGAGAAGGGTGCTTTCTGAACCTGGGTTAACAGATTCAGTGTCTGACTGGCTTTGGCCCTCCTTGTTATTATTTTAGGTGTTGTAGCATCACCTTCTTAGATCAACAGTAGAGGCCCTAAAATGAGCTCAATTTCCTTTGACTAGAGGAATGCAGTGAGGGCAGCTCTCTGCTGTCATTGCTCCCTGGTCTCTGATATTCTACCTGGGTAGAGAATCTGAAAACCAGCACTTTCCTACTACAGTCCCTTTAGCTACCACCAGAGATGCAACGATAGTTCACACATCCATCCCTGTTCTGATTCTTGACCTGTTGTTATTTGGAAGCTGGGGTTTGAGAGAGGTCGTTTCAAGGTAAATACTAACTGGAAGGGTTGTATAGCACTCTGGCCACCTCAGTCTTAGTTCCTCTATACCAGATGGGCTGTTGTCCAGTTTTTTGGTTGGCAAATACATAAATTTCCATGCTAGAGTGGAAGAGGGTTACACACCTTACTGTGTGATGGGGGTAGGTTTTCTTTATTTCAGGTAGTGTGACATACCTTCTGCGGTAATCATATGGCTTTCTGGGTTTGTAGTTAATGAGAACTCTTCCAAGACTTGGCAGGGATTGTCTATATGGCTAATTATTATGTAATTTTCTCTTTTTTTTTTTCATTAGGTATTTTGATGGCAAGTTTGGGGAAGTTGTTCAGGGGGGCTACAGGGGATTCCATGTGCAAAAGGATCCTCTCTATTTTAACCTTTAATTATGTGATTCCTGTCTCAGATGAGATCTTCCTATAGCCAAAACTCACTAGGTCATCGGTCCCAAACCTTTTTGGCACCAGGGACTGATTTCATGGAAGACAGTTTTTGCATGGACTGGGGGGGAGGGGTTGGGGAGTTGGGGGTGGGGTGGGAGAGATGTAGAGCTCAGGTAGTGATTGCAGCCCTGTTTCCTTAACAGGCCACAGATGGCGGTTGGGGACCGCAGCTCTAGACTGTGTCATTCAAGGGATTCCCTTCACAGATGATTGTGATTTACACTAACAAAATGGAAAAATAAATAAGGGCAGAGGGGGGGAAGTGTTTTGGATTTTATTAGCTTTAGTATTACAACATGTGACCAGCTAGTTTGGGATGTCCCAGTGGTGAAATGAACCAAAATATTGAAGGTTTTACAAATCATCTTTATACTGATAATGATATCATTTATGAGATTTATCTCATGAAGTTACAGTGTTTTCCATACTGAAGTGTAGACTGTGAGAACAGTTGAGGAAAATGTTTGGTTAAACATAGTAAAAGAAACTGACCTCAGAGTTCTATTCTTGCTTTGTCACCTTCAGCAGTTTCTCCTCCAGCCCCTACTTCAAGTATGATAGTGGCGTTTTTAGCTTCTGATTAGTCCTCAAGGATAGTGATAAATATTAGTGCCTGTTTTCTAAGAACTTCTTTGGTTTTGTTCTCTTTTGTTTATTCTTATCACTATACTAATTTATCTTCAATATGAATTCATAATTTTTAAAGGAACATTTATCCTTGGCAATCAGTAACTTAATCTTTACCACAGTCTTGGGATTTATCTGCTCATTTACTTATATATCAGTCTTTTTCAACAGGCTCATGCATCATTTGTTTATTTCTCATATACTTTTCTTCACAACACACATCAGTTTTTTCAAAAAAATCACCTTTATCCCATCTATGAGGTAGAAGGAAATGTATCCATTTGAATGAATAGGCCACTTCATTGAGTTTCAACTTCTGTCATAGTGTTGCCTTAATTCAAAGTCTGATGTTCACTTTCTCTTTAGCATGGCAAATATTTAAGGCTTTTGCATTTTTTTATTCTTGTTATTTTATTCTACTCTTCTTACACTTTATGTAAAAAGATATCTTTCTTACTTGTAATCTTCAATCCTATATTAAGATAACATGTAGAATAACAGAGTTTGGAACACCAGGGTTCTGGTCCCAAGTCTTCTGCCTATGTTTTTTTTTTTTTTTTTTTTGAGACAGAGTCTCACTGTGTTGCCCGGGCTAGAGTGCCGTGGCGTCAGCCTAGCTCACAGCAACCTCAAACTCCTGGGCTCAAGTGATCCTTCTGCCTCAGCCTCCCGAGTAGCTGGGACTACAGGCATGCGCCACCATGCCCGGCTAATTTTTTCTATATATTTTTAGCTGTCCAATTAATTTCTTTCTATTTTTAGTAGAGACGGGGTCTCGCTCTTGCTCAGGCTGGTTTCGAACTCCCGAGCTCAAACAATCCGCCCGCCTCGGCCTCCCAGAGAGCTAGGATTACAGGCGTGAGCCACCGTGCCTGGCCAGCCTATGTTTTTATGACCTTTGGCAAGTCATTTATTTTTCTACAGAATCATCTGTTAAATGGACAAAATGTTTTCTCTCATACCTAGCAGTGTAACTATAAAGACTAAATGAGGTGTAGAGCGTGACTTTTAATCCTGGCTACATATTGTTAACTGTAGACCTTTAAAAATATCATTTCACTCTATCAGAAAGTTTGATTTGTCTGGGCCAGGGTCTGACCATTAGTATTCAAGGATTTTAACTATACAGTCAGGTTTGAGAACCACTGGAGTAAAGCATGTTGAAGCATTTAGAGATGTAAGTTGCTAGTAGTAGTATAAGATTTAACACAAGACCATGTTGTAAGTGGCATTGTTGTACTGAAAAGAAATAGATTATAAGAATTTTAGCTTGCCAATTCAGCAGGTGTTCATACTACAGTAATTTCACTAAGGTTGTTATTTGTTGATTTATTTCATTAATATTCAGATGATACAGGACCTTCCTTACTTTTACCCAATTTTCTTGGATTTGTTGGGATCCATCAAGTTAAATTTAAATTTCCCCAGGGTAAAGTAAAACCCTGAATGCAATGCTTTCCATTCCTGTTTGTTAACAACCATTTTATTACATTCTATGCTTATACACTTATATAAAAGTAGTGACTTGGGGGAGAGGCCAAGATGGCAGACTAGAAGCAGCCTGCACTTGCTACTCTCAAGGAGAGGATCAAAGGTTGTGGGTAGAGGTTCACCCATGCATGGATCATCTTGGAGAGAGCATTGTGGATCATCAGAAAAGTGACTGGAGACACCCAAGGTGGGGTGATCTGCTTGGCAAGACCAAAAGGTACCTGGGAGAAGTCCACACATGGGGATAGTGGGGATAAGGGAGAGATCCCCAGGGCTCTGTACTCCCCCAGCAGACACTGAAATTTGAGCTGCAAGGGGTCTCCCCCACAATAGCAGGCCTACACTGATCAGGGAGCTACTTGGAGACTGAAGCAGCATTGCACCGAAGAGTGAACACAGTGGGTCACTGCAACAGATGCCAGTCTGCGCTCTCAGCCCCAGAGTGCCTGGTATGCAGAGGAGTTGGATCCACTGCAGCTGCCTCCCCATTACTCCTGCCAAATGAGAGAGGGAGTGGGGAGGGCAGGCGCTCCAGCACGCACTGTGACTGGGTGCCATGCATCCGCCCAACTCTCCTCCCACACCAGCCGCCTCCCAGGGATCCAGTCAGGGCAGGCACCCACCAGCTCAGCATCTGCTGCCACCATCTTGCCATCTTGATGGCACTGCAGCAGCTGCCATAGTTGGGCCTAGGCAGAGGGAAAGCTCCACCCACCATGACAACCCAGCCCTGCCAGCCACTGCAGCCCAAGCAAGCACCCCACTACCACCTGCATTACCACAACCCGCCCAGGTGCCAGCCAAGATGACCTGGCCAGGTGTCCGCCAACATCCCATGACATGCGCAGGCACCCCACCAAGGTCCTGTGACTGACCCCGCTGCCAGCTGTGGTCCTGCAACTGGCCCAGGTACATGCCAAGGTCCCACAACCTCCACAGGAGCCCTGTTATGATATCAACATGGATGAATTTCCTGCTTGTGGCTCAAAGAATGAATCATTAACAACTCGCCAAGATTAAAACAAGAAGAGATTGAAAATGTGAATATTCCTATATCTACTTTAAAAATTGAATTTATAATTAAGAACCTTCTGACAAAGAAACTGACCTTAATTCATTTGTGCTGCTATAATAAAATAACTTATACTGAGTCATTTATAAACAACAGAAATTCATTTCTCACAGTTCTGGAGACTGGGAAGTCCAATATGAAGGCACCAGCATTCAGTGTCTGGTGAGGGCTGCTCTCCCTACTTCCAAGATGGTGCCTTGTCACTGTATCCTCACATGAAAGGGATGAATGCTGTGTCTTCACATGGCAGAAGAGCAAAAGGGCCAGTTAGTCACCCTGGGCTCTTTTATAAGGGCACTAATCCCATTCATGAGGGCTCCACCCTCATAAGTTCATCACCTCGTAAAGACCTCACCTCTCAATATCATTACGTTGGGGATTAGGTTTCAGCGTATGAATCTGGGGAGACACCAACATTCAGACTATAGCAAAGCCATTAGACCCAGATGGCTTCACTGGTGAATTTTTACAGAATTTAAGGAAAAAATAACACCACTATCCTGAAGACTAGAACAAGCCAACACTTTTCAAGCATTGGGAAATGGTTCCCATTTGTCCTAATACTATTACTTAACTCTAAGTCTTTGAGAATTCATGGAATTCTTATGCTTTGCTGATGAGGGTGTAAATTAATTAAAACCACTTTGTGAAATGGTTTGACTCTCTATTAAATGTGAATATATGTATAATCTATGTCTTAGCAATTCCTTTCCTAGTTGTATACCCTTTATAAATATGTATATAAGTTCACCAAAAGATTTGTAAAGCGTGTTCATTTCAGCATTCTTCATAATAGCCCCAATATGGAAACAACCCAATGTTGTTCCATCAATGGAAGGTGGTTACATGAATTGTGATATATTCATACATTGAAATACTATAGAGCAACAACAAAGGACCAACTACTTCTGTATGCAGCAGTGTGGATAAGGAAAACAATGAAAAGTTGGGAAATGTTAAATGAAATAAACCAGCAAAGTAGTATATGATTCCGTTTTTATAACATTCAAACACTAGAACAACTTACCCATGGTGATACATTTCAGGATAGTGTTTAGTTTGGAGGTGTTATTTACTGGGAAGGGGCATGAAGAAGCAATTTGGGCTCTATTTCTTGATCAGGATAGTGGTTGCAGGGTTATATTCGTGTCACCAAAGTTTTTCAAACTATAAAGTTATGATTTATATCCTTTATAGTATGTATATTATATTTCAGTTTTGTTTTTGTTGTTGTTAAGTAAAGCAGTCAGAAAAAATATTAAGTAGGAATAAAGTAGCCTAGATAAACTCGAAGGGAGGCACTGATAAGTAGGAACTTCAATCTTTCACTTATAGACTCTCAGTAGATTCAGCATAAGATTATAAATGAAGTGCAGTTCACCTAATCTCCTACCACATTGATCTACCTGGTTGATTTGTTTTATATACACATACACACACACACACACACACACACACATATATGTATATATATAAATATATATACAAAATTCAAATACTATATACATGCATTTATATGTATGATATTTCACATTGCTTCTTGGCTCTCTGTCTATGATCAAGTGTGATATTTCACAATAAAGAGGCTTAAAGAACAGAATATG